TGCCCCCCCCCTGCCCCCCCCCTGCCCCACCAATCAGGTTTTCAGCAAGGAGTGTCCAAAAGGTATGGTTAAAAAAGAAGGAAAGTCAAGTTGGCAGTTATAATGGTGTAGTCAAAGTTCTACCTGCTTTTTATGTGTGTCATGCATTAAAAAACAAGCTGAGCTTCAATAGCACCATCATGGCTGCCCCATCTTCACTTTTTTTTTTTTAACCAAACCCGGCAGACATCTGTGTTTTCATGGCTTTTGAATGTCCCTCCCACACTTCTTTTTCCTATTCATCTTTCCTGGGTTACATCTCTTCCAACTAGTAAATAAGAACTTTTGGTAGAATACTCTGCTGTGGCCCAGAATAAATCATCGTTGGATGCAGAAAGCAATCTTCTTCCCTGTTCTTCTCCCAAGGACATTTGTTTTCTATATGCAAGAAAATTGTTGAATAGAGAAGTTTTCCATTATGGATGTCTCCATATGCATTCCGAAATGGCACAATTGAGGTACAGGCTTTGCATCTCACCGAGGATTGGCATGGTCCATTAATCCCACACGTGGGAGATTTCGAGAACTCTCACAAGCCATAGTTTAATTCTGGGAGGCTTAAGTCCAAAATTTAAGAGAGCTCCCGACCAAATTAGCGTTTTTCCCCAGACTGCTCCAACAATACTGTTAGCAGTGAAATTGTGTACCACGTTGCCAGATTTTCCAGTGTGCGTAGCACAAATATAGCACTCATCTGCAAACCCTAAAGCACGTGGCTGTTTTCAAGATTAGCTATTTCTTCATTTATTAGACTGATAGGCCACCCAACTTCATCCTGAGTATGATCAAGTACCAAGGTTGTACTGCTGTATGGCGCAGGGTACCATTTTGGGATCAAAACCTAATTTGATTTGCACAACCCTAATTAGTAGCAGCCTTATTTACATATTTATTTCATGCCAGAAGCTGAGTATGTTACCAGATATACAGTGCAACAGTATGGCATGTATAAAAGAAAAATATAACAACTAATTAAAGTCAAATTGTTCCTTCACATGACAATATTAAGAATAAACTTTTAAAAATAAAAATGAACTGCAGAATAAACTCTGCGGACTGCCACATAATCAACATGCAAATCAAAAATCAACCACTGACATACATAAATGTTCTACCTCCATTAACTTCCACAAATGGTAAAAGGCATAATAAAATAGGAGCAGATCTTCCAGCAGAATATTGTAAGGCAGTGTTTCTTGGACTTGGCAACTTTAAGATGCGCGGAGTTCAATTCCCAGAATTCTCCAGCCAGCCATGCTGACTGGGGAATTCTGGGAGTTGAAGTCCACCCATCTTAAAGTTGCCAAGTCTGGGAAAAACTGTTGTAATGACTATTTTTAGCATACTTTTACATGTTATTAGCAGTAATGGATGTGCCAAAGACAGTCAAGTACACAAAACTAGGATCAGATACCTAAAACCCCAAAGAGAAGATGTCATAGTCCTAGGAAAATGGAACCAAAAGGAGCCCCCTGTTACTTACCTTCAAAGGCAGAAGTTTTCAATCTACAAAAACGCCAGAAGTCCTACCATACTGGGGCTTGAGTGCACCTGGAAAAAAAAAATTCCAGGAAATTGCACTTCTATGCTCTTTGGCCAACTCAATTTTGAAACAATGGATTCTAGACCTGGAAGGCCAATTGGATTACGCAGCTTGTCCCCATGATGTATTCATTATCTATCAGTTTCCAAATACAAATTGGCCAGTTTGCTGGAAAGATCACAGTTTCAAAATTCAGAAGAGCTTTATCCTTGGCTTGCTTTAATGCTTCCCCCTGCAGCGATGTTGGAAGGGAAATACAGGAAAATCCCCTTTGCTAAATGACAGTGCTCCTGTGATGCAGGTGCAATAGAAACCACAGCCTGTGTTTTGTTATCCTGCCAGGGACACTGGCTTGCAGGTGATCTCCCTTCTCCTCTCTAAACTCCCAGGGCGTTCTGATTTATTTTACTTACAGTCCCCATCAGATAGCAAAGGCAGTTCTGTTGTCCTTAAATGTTGCCAAGCTTTGTTACACGGTGTGAAAACTCCCCCCTGCTATGAGCTGTAACTGCTAATAGTTATGCTCTGTGTTATTATAGTGGTCTCTTCCTCTTGGTCTATGACTCTAGTAAAGTCTTATCTATCCCCACCATACTAGAGTGGCACTCCCTCCCACCCCAAAGTTGGGTTTTATTTGATTTCCTCCACTGGCATCACAACTAAAGCAGAATTTAAAAAATGCAGGGCCAAGAATAGGAATCAAAAATGGTCTGTCTCGACCGCTTAGACCCACATTTTTATTGTGATGGTGCCTACTCTAAATTCATGCATTGCTGCCCCCTCCATGATGTATAATTCCAAATGTACCTACTGATCTCAAAGGTTTGCCTTCTTCTTTGTAAGAGGGAATTGAGAGAGGTGAATAGGAAAGCTGAGTTTCCCAGCAGCGAAGAGCAGAAGATAGCTATTTTATAAGGACTTTTGATTTCTAGAAGGAAAATGGGGAAGTCAGAACTCAGGGTATTGAAAGCTGGAAGGTCTGAAGCTGGAATGACCCTTCACTGTAGGAAGAAGAGCACCTGATGATGTTTTCACTTGCTGGGATGAGGCAATTGGGTCAGCAAAGAAGTAAATAGAACTTTCTTTGTTTCAGGGCAGTCAATTATTCGAAATCATGGTTACATTGGTTTAAACCATGGTTACCATTTCTATTCCCATACAAACACCAAACCACTCTATTTAAATATAGGCAAAACAGCTGCAAACATGAGCAGCTAAAAATGGAGGAAAAGCCAAATACCGACCAAATCAATCTCTGTTTATCCTCAAGACTGATTTGGCTTGTTAAAAAACCATGTTTAAAACAAACCTTAGCATAGCATTAACTCACATTGCCATAGCTAGACAACTCTGCAGTGATCACTGAGTTCCCAAGTCACTACTGAAGCATGATTTGTTTTAGCCGTGGCTTGTTGCATAAACCACAATTGGATTGGTCCTTGCAACTTGCTAAGCCATTAACTGTGACATAGTGGCATGCTTAGTCAAAGCGAACAGGTCCTTCCTGGTTTACTTGGCCTTTATGTCTCTTTCCTCTTCCTTTCTTATGAATGTATCTAAACCCTTTAAAGGCCTTTGGAGTGGGTAACCTCCATACCTTGTTTAAATCTACAGGCCTCCATAGGCTTCCCTAAACTCTTTGGGGCTCCCTCCTGAGGAACTATCTACAGGCTTCTTCAGCAAGTTGCCTTTTGTCCCAAGCACCACCTCCAAGTTTGACATCCTCAGCAGGCCTACTAGCCATTCCACTGTCGCGTCAACAGGTTCCCAGTTGGGGAGTCTCTCCAGCAGAACATGAAAAAACTAAACTGGCTAATGACGTAGGGATGGGGTGAGGGTGGGTGGGGAGGTGGTG